TGCACCCTTACCCATTATTTTATGTCGACTTAATTGCATTTTTACCTACTAATTTTCTCCTTACATTCCTCTTTGTACATATCAATATAAGAATTTACTTTTTTACATTTTTCAATGCAATAAAATTAGTTTTATAGGACGTCCAAAATGTCTAAGCATCCTAACAAAATATTTTGTAAGACTTAAGTTTATATGAACAAACCAAAAAAACATCCTATCTGAAAATGTTACAATAGATTTATAGACACTTTAACGTGCTTTAACAAGTTTTTTTTTACAATGCTTCACAAATAAAATATGGTATTAGCTATTTTATGACAATATTTGAAAAAATATCCTATATAAAGATGAGTTTATAAGATATTTCTCAAAAGTGTCTTATAAAAATAGTTAATAGAACAATTTTTTTAAAAACGTCCTAAAAACTTGTTAAGATGCCTAAAGGCGTCCTATAAAACTATTCTAATGCTTTTAGATGGGATGATTTATAGTTAGGGGCCGTTTACCTAAATGCTTACCYGGTAAATGCTTATCCGGTAAGTGMTTAYCCTTAAGAGCCAACACTATAATTTATTTTAGCAGGTAAGATTGTAGTACATCAAAATGGTATCATATGCAACAATTTACCCGGTAAGCACTTACCCGGGTAAGAGTCGTCACTCTCACTTACCAAGTAAGACTCTCCATCTTTATCGTTGCTCTTACCGGGTAAGATTTTTGACCCTCGCCCTATTCATCCTCTAAGGAAAATTACCCGTTAAACACTTACCGGGTAAGCGATTAGTAAACAGCCCCTTACACATTCTAAACATACTATAAAGCCAATTTTACTGTAGTGTTCAATGTATGATTTAATCTGATTCTGATATAAATAAAGATACAACACCGTTTCTTTTTCCCATGAATAAGTTATAAATTTGGATCCTTAACCCCACTCCTTCTATTCATCTATGCTTCATTAATTGCATCCATGATTTCTTTCTGTAATACCCACTTCTTTGAGGGATATTTGTGGTTATGTTTTATGGTGACTTCTTGAATTTGAAACCTTCCAAAAGATATCCACAAAGATGGAGAGAGAGAGAAAAGACAATAGCAATAGGGTTTATATAGAAAAGACAAAAAGACAAAAGATGTCAATGTCTACAATTTTCAATGTCTATATGGGTCTATAATACACACCATCTACTACTTACTTTTTACTGTTGATTGCTTATGGATTATATCAGCAACAATAGCAACAGCAATAGCAATAGGGTTTACATAGCTGGTCTGATGTGAGCCTTCACAATGAGCTAAACGACGCCAAACATACTAAATAGGGTAAAGTAATTGCTCCATCCTTTTGGACTTTGGTTAAATAAAGATGTGTTTTTGACTGACAAATCAACACAATACTTGCAGTGCCATACCCTATCCCTCTCCTCCATATATTCAAATACTTCAGTATACATAGATATATATACACATACACACATATATATATATGTATATATATATACACACACACATATATATATATCCTCTTTTAGTTTCTATAATATTATCAAAGAAAATGTATTTTTATGTTTTCTATTTTTTCACTTGTGGGTATATACAGAGAGAAAGAGAGAGAGAGTCCAGAGATCTCGATTCACATCTTGCTTTCTTCTATTTCTGGTTATGTGGGCTCAGATCTGCAAATCTGCAATCCGACAAATGGGATGAGACACCGCCATGGCTGCAACCCGTTGCCCCGCCAAGATACGGGCCGAATTTTACCCAGTGCTCGGAAACCTATGCTCGAAAATGCTAAATGCAGAAGAATTTCATCACAGCCTCGATGTTTATTTGGCAACAGTAGCGACGACCTCCGATAAATCTCCGGATCGGAAAATAAAACCTACCGGATCAATCGGAAACCGTACCAAAAGCATCATGTTCATAAATAAGCAATCCAAACATAAGCAATATACACACACAGAGAGAGAGAGAGAGAGAGAGAGAGAGAGAGAGAGAAACCGTACCAAAAGCTTCAAAGCAATGTTTATTTGGCAACAGTGGCGACGACCTCCGATAAATCTCCGAATCGGAAAATAAAACCTACCAGATCAATCGAAAACCGTACCAAAAGAAATCACAAACATAAGCAATATACACACAGAGAGAGAGAGAGAGAGAGAGAGAGAGAGAGAAACCGTACCAAAAGCTTCGAAGCGATGTTTATTTGGCAACAGTGGCGACGACCTCCGATAAATCTCCGAATCGGAAAATAAAACCTACCGGATCAATCAGAAACCGTACCAAAAGCAATCCAAACATAAACAATCACAAACATAAGCAATATACAGAGAGAGAGAGAGAGAGAGAGAGAGAAACCGTACAAAGCTTCAAAGCGATGTTTATTTGGCAACAGTGGCGACGACCTCCGATAAATGTCCGAATCAGAAAATAAAACCTACTGGATCAATCGGAAACCGTACCAAAAGCAATCCAAACATAAGCAATCATAAACATAAGCAATATACACAGAGAGAGAGAGAGAGAGAGAAAAAAAAAACTGTACCAAAAGCTTCAAAGGGATGTTTATTTGGCAACAGTGGCGACGACCTCCGATAAATCTCCGAATCGGAAAATAAAACCTACCGGATCAATCGGAAACCGTACCAAAAGCAATCCAAACATAAGCAATCACAAAGATAAGCAATATACAGAGAGAGAGAGAGAGAGAAAACGTACCAAAAGCTTCAAAGGGATTTTGGTTGTTCACCATATTAGTGAATAATGGATAGAGAGAATAATGGATAGAGAGAGAGTGTCTTGAGAAGGGATGAGAGTGTCTCGAGGGAAGTGTCTCACAAAGGCATAAAGCATCATTTAAAATTTATTTCAAATTTGAAATTTGGTGGTGATGGTAGAGGGGTTAAAGTCAATGCATCAACAAGTTGTACATTATGCTTTATAATTTGTCCTTAAGAGTTTTTTGAATTTTATGCATAAAATGATAGTACTTTATGATTTGTTGTTTGTAATTAAGATAATGGTGTAAATGGTTATATATGTAGTATATATATATATATATATATAT